TGAGGCTTGAGTCATTAAATTGGTAATATTTGTCTCCTTGGCAACCTTAGATTTGTGCTGATGAGGAAATATCTTGATCACGTCCTGCTTGCAAAATGGCGAATTAAACACGTCCATGACGCAAAACCTTCTCTGAATACTTTGATATTCAGCTAGTCAAGAAATTTGTTTTTACAAAGGCTCATTTCCACGCTCACAGAAGATTAGGAGAGAAATGCATCTGCCAGAACATCATGCAGAAGTGATGGAATGATGACTGTAGGTGCTAAGGAGCTAGTTACTATGAGAAACTGGCAGAGTGCTGAGGCCACCAACCTGGTCACAAATACTTAGACACTCTGTACTGTGGACGTGGGGATTCCCCACTAAGTAAAGGAGAGCGCACCAAAATGCCTTACCTTGAGGAAACATCTCTCCATGACACACCAGCAGCAATCTCTATGAAACAACTTTAACAAGCAGAAACAGAACAGAATAAAGAATGCAACTTACCACAGAGGCCATTCCACAAAACAATACCTTTATATCTGACATTACGTCAATAAACAGTTTTACGATATGCGTTTTAGTGCACGCTGATTACTGAATTGACAGCGTGTCTACACAACAATTTCTCGTTGTGGTCACAATGTTTATTAAGATCCCGGGACCCCTTCAACATGATAATCATATGCTGATTGACTACCCAATATCAAGATCAATAAGGTACCTTCTACCTCCAAGATTCATACGGAAAGGAATCTTCACTCACAGATGGCTCGAACACAAACATCCTGCAAAAGAGCTACACCACTTAAATTCCTCTCCCTTCCATTTCAGCATGTGCTTCTAAACCTGGTGAAAAAACTGTGTTTCTACTCTAGCTCAGACATCCCATGCTTCCTGGTAAATAACTCATATGAATATCGTAAAGCATTTGCAATGGGTCCATGCGAAAGTTATCTGCTTCAAACATGTACACGACTTAGCAGTCTTGTCTCTTACATTCAAGCACTTAAAGAGACAATAGTGAAGATTAAAAATTAAGGTTTAAGCATGTAGTGGTCCTCAATAAACCATTCAACTTAAAAAAAATTTGTGCTGATGCAGTGTCAACCTCAATATATGTCAATAAATGTTTACCAGTCTTATAGCTTTTCTGATAAAGATTCATATGCAAAGGAATCTTTACTAACAGACAGCTCGAACACTCTAATATTTTAACAAACATCCTGCAAAAGAGCTATACCACAAGAAATACAACAACCAAGTTACAAAGGGCATTGTAATGATAAACAGTGCCACATATTATTGGACAGACTGAACTCTATCACATGACAAGCACATCTAATACATCATATTGCTAGTGTACTTACACAATGCACGTCAAATTGAGACAGATACATCTGTAGAAGACAGGAGTGCCCTTCATGATCTCAGCCAATTTTCTGTTGAGATATGAAGTGAGCCTGCCAAGTGTACTGAACATAATCCACTGATTTCCTGGCAAGCAGTAGGCTGGTCAGGTGGCAGACAGCTTTCCCCCGAGTAAAATCCCAAGGATCAATTAACCTTCTTCTCCTCAGCTATTCCCAGAAAGATAAAATGCATTCACTTTTAACTATCAACTTCCCCCCCCCTGACACAAATGCAAAAACAAACATCAATCTGATGACGCAGTTGATTAAATATGTACTTTGTTCTGGGGGCACACCACACATGCAGCATTGCTAGCTGACACTGGGTTACAAATTGTTAAAGAAGTTGCAATGAGGCATTCTTAAATATGTGCTCACAGTTGTTACTATATATAGTGCTTTATATTTAATAATAATCTAACCAGAGGCAAATCCAGACGTGCTTTCTTTGTAAATGGGACCTCTTCGAAAATATCCAAAGACACGGGCGGTCGTTTCTTCTTGTGATCCTCGTCACTCTCGTGTTTCCTAAAGCAAGTAAATACAGAATACGAAAGAAAATTATAAACCTGTTGAAACAACAGAGACATTTTAAGAGAATACTTACAAATATGGAACTAAAGAAAATTCTCAGTTTATTACAAACAACTTCCTAGTTCCACAAACATTTAAAAAGCCCCCACATAGTATTACAACAAAAATAAAAAAATTTGAAAATCATGTTTATTTCAGATAAAGACATGTTAAAATTAGCAGCTACAATCAATAAACACAAGCAAATTTCCACAAATGAATCACTCTTTCGCTCACTCACTTTCTGTTGGAATCTATAATTTAAAAGACTTGACAACAGTTTCGGGTACTCTAACAAAACTAATTCACAAGGCTGTCATACAACACACCTGCTGCAAGTTACTTTAATAAGCAATACGGTAGCTTATGACACAGAAACACGCTTACCCTTCTATTTCTCTCAAATTAGAAGCCATGAATGGTCCTGCGGCAGCATCCTTGAGCATTTTTTCAAACAGCGTCTTCAAATTGTCATCGAGCTTTCTGCCTTCATTCTGCTCCAAATATTTAAGTATGCAAGCGTGGATCCTATAGTAGACTTCTAAGGCTTCAACTGCCAAGTTCTGTGGATTACTGTAGCTTATCCTACGGGCATAACTAGCCTGCGTCTGATGAAGGTGTTCGCAAGCCTGCAATAAACGTCGCGTCTATATTCAACAGGCATACTCTTGTTCAGTTCACAGTTTGTTAATAAACCACTTTCTTATCAAGGGTTCTGGGCCTTTGTGCATATCAAGTGGTAGCACAGAGCGTGGTTTTGTGATTCTATCTAACTCAAGGTCTTCTGTTATTGCACTCACATTTTTTTCTTTTGTACTGATTATTGTGAATTGTTGTTAATCTGTCAGCTGTTTATCATCTTTACAATGGATCGTGCACTTCCGAATTTGGACTACCTCAGGAAGGATGAAAGGACATGAGCACAAATCTGAATCACAGTTCTCTGTTTTATTGTGCCCCCTTCCTTCCAGGCAAAATCCTCAGGCTGCTTTAAGCAATACGGTAGCTTATGACACAGAAACACGCTTACCCTTCTATTTCTCTCAAATTAGAAGCCATGAATGGTCCTGCGGCAGCATCCTTGAGCATTTTTTCAAACAGCGTCTTCAAATTGTCATCGAGCTTTCTGCCTTCATTCTGCTCCAAATATTTAAGTATGCAAGCGTGGATCCTATAGTAGACTTCTAAGGCTTCAACTGCCAAGTTCTGTGGATTACTGTAGCTTATCCTACGGGCATAACTAGCCTGCGTCTGATGAAGGTGTTCGCAAGCCTGCAATAAACGTCGCGTCTATATTCAACAGGCATACTCTTGTTCAGTTCATGTAGAGAACAGTTTATTTTATGTTTAGGTGTTTTATAATAGAGTGCTTATAATCTTTCATTTAATTATGTCTTAAAATGTGCTCATTTCCCAATTCTGCATTTAATACATTACGAGTTGCAAAATACAGGAAATTAAAACATTTTATACATTAATAATAGTCAATTGACTGTTGAAAAATAAGGAGAAAGGCAAATTTAAAATGCTGAAGAGTGATGTGAGGACGATGTTAACTGCAAAGTAAAAGTTAAAATGTAATTCCCACTATTAATTGTCAAAGTTTTTACTGCTTGTTGTAAGGATTAATTTGCAGTCCACCTCGAATCTTATGAATCTTAATTTCCCCTTTGCGAAGGGGTGGGGCACCACAGTCATTATGTAGCACAGTAAGGTTAAGTGTAGAATTTTTTAGGAATGAAGCAAAGAATTACTCTGTTTAAAGTTATATGTCTTTGCAGCTATGCGTGTGCAGTTTTACAATTTTTGTTAGCAATAATGTTCATAATGTAGCAATATCAAGCAGTTGTAGTGTTTAACGGACAGACAGATTATGTAAAGCTGATGGCAAAAATCGTATTAAGAAGTAGTTTGAAGAAGAGGGGATGTTACTGAAATGGTTGTGAGAGTGTGAACCAGGTTGAGCAACTATGAATGTAAACACACACAGAAACAGTTGGGTAATGCCCACTTGTCATGTTGGTGTAAGATCTTTGTCTTGAATGTTATAAAAAGGAGAGAGTAGTCAGATTGAGATATGTCGTTGTCTACTTTGAATTAATTTTGTTTCCCTTAACCTGACGTGTGGACTCATTGTAGACAGTTCAATGTTCAATTCCCTGTTCATAAAGAACATGCGTAGGAAAACTTTGAAAGCATAATATTGTACCTTAAATGAGCATAAGAGTTTCAGCAAGATCTGGGTTATTATTTGGTAGGTTAGGATGGGGCATTTAACAATTCTGAATCAATTAAATCTTGTAACTGAATATTTTACGTGAGTACGATTATGAATATGAAGAAGTAACAATTTGAAACACAATGAATAGGCCATATACAATTTGAATACTTTGCTGAAAGATCGTCAAGACAATAATAATTTTATATAATCTGGAGGAAAACATTTGTATGGATTGTAATGAAAGTTGCATCAACTTTTTAGTTTAAACTCAAATGAATTAGACTGTCTTTGAAAGGACTGATTTTGGGATCTATGTATTTCAATCCCCTTGGTAGAAAATTTTGCGACTGTGTGAGAGCTGTTAAATATTCTTCATTCTAATTGAAATCAAGGGGGCTCTTTTACAACTACATGTTTAAGTTCCACTGATAATAATGTTGAATCAGATTTATCATGTTGGCTTTGACCAGAAAATACAGGAAACTGTGTGAAACAATTTTCTCTATTTATATCATCATTTGCTGGGGGTGGTAAGAATGACATTGTTGGCAGGTGCGAGGGCAGACACCCCTATACCAGGCAGCAAACACAGAGCCTGCCAAGGGTTTCTGCTTTTGTTCCTCAGCGGTAAGTCCCAGTCGAGAAGTAGTGACGTACAGAATTTCCCTATCGGGGCCCCCAAAAGTCCCCAGAGGTCTCTTCCCCTCAGGCTTTTAAAATAGTGGACCAAACCAACCAGATGGCTTACGGAACCCGAAGGTTCATCACCGAATCAACCAAAGCCCTCCACCGGACCCTGTCCTGGGCCAACAAAATTCAGTCTCCTTCAACTCCTATCTCCCATAGATCC